CTAGAAGCCCCATAACTCCCATTTCTTTGAGGATTCATGCATGAATAATGCATGAATCATGTTTCAAAATTTAAAAAGGGACAGGAGAGGCCAAAAAATAAAGAAAAATTAGGATCCTGACTTTCTTTTTTAAATTCAGTTATGTGTTTCTGAAAGCTCTTATTCTTCATATACCTGGGAAGACATGGAGTATTTCCTGTCTTCCTCCATTTGAGAAGACTTCAAAGGCCACAGCCTTATAGGTGGGCTCTGTATTTCACACCACGTCTGCTTTCTCTGCCGTTATTCCAAAAAGCAAAAGTCCACAGAAAAACTCCTAGCTGATTTATTGACAATACCAACCTTGAGGGGGGAAATAAAGGAAAAGAAGAAATGAGAAAAAAATAAAAGTTTCCTTGAATTTCTTTCTGACCAATTATGTGACTGCTTATAGATCAAGTTCAATTTCTCGTAGGTGCTGAGGGAAACTCAGGAATAACACAATTTTTTTCCAAACTGACTCTTGTGCAAAGACAGAAAACTCAGCTAATTTTAAGATCAATCTATTTTCTGCCATTTTAGGAGTTGCACTACGCTGCATAACAGCTGAGTCACTGCTCACGTCAATGCTTGGTTTTGCTCCTCAGGAGCTGAGGGTTGAATTAATCACTTGCTTCAGTTTGTGGTGCATGACTGTCATTGACTTTGATTGATTATTGAATATTCTATTGGTTTATTACATTTTATAATCTCCGTAGCTCTGAAGAGTTGTTTCTAAGTTGCTTATTATTAGATCAAAGAAGAGACATGTGATCACCCCCAGACATTATTCTCAATCCCCAGGGAATGATCATCTTCTTTTGTCAAAATATCTATAAAATGTCTTCAGATGAAGGCACAATACAGAAAGTTCCTGCTCCAAGTGAAGACCTGAAGAATCCTCACCTGCTGGTGTGCCTGGCGTGGGCAGGGGGAATTCTAACCTACACCTGGCTAGAGCAGCATTGCTTTCCCTGGGGCAGTACAGAGAGGTAGAGCTATCTTCTTCCCATCCTCTCCTTGGGTCCCTCACCCTTCAGAGTCTGTAGGTACGCACTCACCCCTTTTTCTATCAGAATAGCCCCCAAACAGCCCTTTGGAAAGGTTGAATAGCCCCTTAAACTAGAGCTTTAGCCAAACTCAGTTGAGGAGGTTGGAGCACGATGGAGAAAGAGATACAGAGATGGGAGGGAAAGGAAAAGAGAAAATTAAACTAGGTGAGGGAGAAAGTGGTGTGGGCGTGTTCTCCTTAAGACATTTGGGGGTTCTTTGACAAGAGAGATTGGGGAGAAAGTGGTGTGGGCGTGTTCTCCTTAAGACATTTGGGGGTTCTTTGACAAGAGAGATTATTAGCGTCGCCTGGGGATTCAAAGTAACATCTACAAATGGTAAGAATGCCCATTTCCTTAATATGCATTTTAACTTCATTTAAATTTTTAGTGACTTGTAAACAATACAGAGGCTAAAGGGCTTTCTATCAAAGCCCCTCACCAGCAGTGCCCTCCCCTACTAGAGCAAAATCCAGAAAGGGAAGTGGAGGAACATTCTCAAGGCTCACAAACCCAAGTGTACTCAAAATCTATTATCTCTCCAGCCACTCAAACAGAGCACCAGAATCCTCTCAGCTGCTTTCTAAAGAACGTGAATTGCTAGTCCCACCCCGTGCTTGCTGAGTCAGTCTCTGAGGCCAGCTTCCAAGAACCAGGGTTTTTTTCCAGCCTTTTAGGTGATACTTTGATGAGCACATTGGGGAACTGTTGTCTGCGATTTATGGCTACGGTTATTTCAGGTTTCATACACATGTCTTATTTGCATGACAGATCAGAAGCCCCTTTGCAGAAGGGACACAGGCGTCCTCAAACTACAGCCCGTGGGCCACGTGCGGCCTGCCGAAGACATTTATACAGCCCGCCAGGTGTTTTGGCCTCCACTTCCTGCCCTGCTTAGCAGCTGATTTGTCCTGGGGCCTGCAGTCCGGCCCTCCAATGGTCTGAGGGACAGTGAACTGGCCCCCTGTTTAAAAAGTTTGAGGACCCCGGACTACACCTTAGCCTCCTACTGGATGCTCTGTAGCACCCATCACAGGGTCCCACGGCATAGCCCACACTGCTGGGCACAACATATGTGCTTTCTAATACCCATTTGTTAAATTGAATTGTTTGCTCTGTACTGTTTCTTCATCACTTTTTAAAAAAAATAATGTTTGGTCAGGCACAGTGGCTCATACCTGTAATCCCAGCAATTTGAGAAACCAAGGCAGGAGGATTGCTTAAGACTAGGAGTTCAAGACCAGACTGAGCAACATAACAAGACCCTGTCTCTAAAAATATGAAAAAATTCAGCTAGGTGTGGTGGTGCCCACCTGTACTCTCAGCTACTTGGGAGGCTGAGGCTGAAGGATCTCTTGAAGTTTGAGGCTGCAGTGAGCTATGATTGCACCATTGCACTCCAGTCTGAGCAAGAAAACAGGACTTTCTCTAATGAAAATTTTAAAATAAAAATTATTTTCATCTTCATAAGTTGAATTATCTTTCAGTAATATTTTCTCTATGAAAAAAATTACTGAGAAGCCCTTTATCTTCACCAGATAAGTGGTCACACAGGTTCCAACAAGAACATTTTCATTTTTCCTTTTTTTGTTTTTAATATACTTCCTGACTCTGAGGAATGATGGCTCACAGTCCTAAGGTTCTTTCTCTTTTTCACAGCTTCTCTTGGACAAATTCATTCACGGAAGGGATAGATTACCAATCTTTTCTCACCATCTATTTCTTTTGCTCATCCTTCCCTACTGAATATAAATAGGCTCATTATTTTAAGCTGGGATAAAATTATTTTTATCCACTGACTCAAGAAGAGATTGTTTCCATTAAAATTTTCTAAGTAATAAAAATTGGTTATAACACAATTGTTGCTTGTGCAGTGTATTCCAAGACACCTCAGTTAGTTCAAATGATATACACACCAAACTTCTTTTCTTTTCCACAGCCAAACTGGAAGCAAGAAATTGTTTTATGTTATTTTTATAGTCCTGGTTTGCTTTTTTCTTTCTTTGACAGGGTCCTGGTCAGATGAACCTCAGGAATAAGGTACTGAGAGACAAGTAACCCCGTGTCCCCAAGGTGCAGTTCAGAGGCCACACTGGGAAGCCAGGGAGGGCCGCCTACTTCCAGGTAGCCTCATGGCCCAGTGGCCTCCATGTATCATAGCAGAGCGTGGTGTGAGCCAGGCTCACCTACAGGTGGTTACCGAGTGGAGCAACTTGAGGGGCTGTGAAAGTATATGGCACTCTACCCAGGGGGATAGCTTGAGGCTCCGTCTCAAAAAAAAAAAAAAAAAAAAAGTATATGGGGTAGAAAGTAAATGGCATTGGACCTGGGGTCAGAAGGTGTGTGCGAGCCTCCTGTCATGGCTGGCAATGTTAGGAGGGGCGTGCAGCTGAAGTTCAGAGAAATCATGTCTCTCCTGGCCTCTTGGGAACACATACAAAATCCAAAGAACAGTGGAAAACATTCTCTTTTCTTCCTATCAGGACAGAGCTCAGTCAGCCACCCCTTCCATTCCTTGAGCCCCTCCTTTGCCTTACTTTCAGTGTCCCAGCTCCCTCTGACCCCTGCACCTGGGGCCAAGTCCCCAGGGTAGACAGGTTCCCTGTCAGGAAGGAAAATGTGTTCCTTATGTTCTTTGGACTAGATCATTTGGAAAACAACAATTCAATCAGCTCACAGTGATTGCCTCTTGCGCCAAAAGGCTTGGATAATTTTGTTAAAAGACTCACCCTACTCTGTCAGATGAGATCAAACAGTAAAAATGAAAAAAGGTTTGACCCTTAGTCCCCACTAGGGGAGGTTTAAATGTAGTGGGTTATTAACAATAATTGTAACAATTAGCATTTACTGAGTACTTTGTCTGATACTGTTCTGTCCTTTACATTCATCACCTTTTACGCCTCACAATAATACTATGAAATAGATTTTATAGTAATCCAAGTTTACTGATAAAATATTAAAGAGGTTAATTTCCCCAAAGTGACAATAATCGGTGGCACCAAGAATTGTTCTTAAACACCGTATTTGATGGCCATCGGGCTACTTGTAGCCAGCCAATGCTTCTTAAACACATCCAGTGGAAGTTGTTAATTTGTGAATCCAAATACCCGGAGCTGTGGTGACTGGAGTTTTCCAGGCTGTGAGGGTCAGAGGTGTCAATACGCCTTTGTGTAATATAGAAAGGATCCCAAAAGATGGATAAAATAATTTATCAGACACACATCATGTTGTAAATGCGATAAATGTCTTGGAATAAACATCACTTTTTGCTGACCAAGATATATATCCATTTTGTAGGTAGAAAGGAGGGGGAGTATAATAAGAGCAAATAGAAAGTAAAGAAATTGATATTTTTAAATGATTGTTGCATCAGATCCTCAATAGTTTGTAAAGTGATTTTACAACAGATCCTGATGATAAATTATTTTCCGCTACATTCTATTAAGAGGTCAAAGAGAATTTTTCAGTAAATGCAAATTTAGGGGGTTAAAAATATTCTATCAGTTTTTTTTTAAAGTATACAATACAAAAGTTTTTTGTATTACAAAAAAGGGTAAGTCAAATGTCTTGTTTTATTTCATTAACTATTTATTATTATAAAATGTGTTGTTTCATTTTGAAGTTAAACCCAATGGTTTTTACTCACCCTGACATAACAGAATCAAATTACATTCTTCAATTAACATGTACAGTGTGTTAAATAAAAGATTTCCTCAGACTCATGTGCTTTTTAAACTCATTTATTTTGCAGCAGATCTTATGTCATATACTGTGTGCCTTGTTTCTTGTGCTGAAACAAGGCCGTTTCCAGATATTCCAAATACTCAATTTCCTACTGTAGTTTAACAATGGCAAGTCTATCAGATTTCTTCCAAATTAATCAGCAGGGCACGGAAGAATTTTTTTTCCACGAGAAACAAAGTAAATGGAACTTAATCTAATTATATAAAACTATACATCTCCTTTGTTTCACCCTTGAATGTAAGCTTCTCTAGAGTAGGGTAATTTGCACAGAGCAGAAGTTCAATAAGCATTTTAATTAATTAATTAGGCTTTCTCCTGTGACCTCAGGGCCCCATCATACATGGATAACTACTACTCATGTTTCCCACCAGCAAACACTGGCAGGAAGAAGCCGGTACCAGGGGAAACAGAGTCCAAATCTAGTCACCTGGACAGAATTGCTTTTATTGAAAAGAGTGATCACCTGGTTCCCTTCAACACATAAAATTCAACACATTCCTCAGGCTTTCACGGGATTTGTAAAGGTGCCTGATGTGCCATCAGCCTCACTGGCAGGTGAATGTGACTGGTGACAAAGCTCCTTTTGTAAGAGGATTCTCTTTTTTCTATGGATTCATCACCTTGCTAACCACCTACCTGCCCTGAACCCCCTTAAGTTGAAGCACCTACTGGAAAATGGAGCTGAGGCTCACGGCCCCTTTCTAGCTGCTGTCCCAAACCACGGCCTCCAGGGATGCAGGCCCCAGGACTGGGTTCTCTCATCAGATAGTCTGCCGTCTAAAGAAATGCACTGTCTCAATTCTTGACCCAGTACCCTCCAAGTAAAGGTGCTCTTGGAAAATCGCTGCTTCAGTTCTGTTCAGAATCCAGTTGGTTGAGCCGCTTTACGATCATGTTGTTGATTTTCTTAAGGTCGTCTATGTCCTTTCCCTCAGCCGTTAGTCTTCTTGACACATCGTCCATCTTGTTTCCAGTTTGAACTTCAAAATGGAAAACAGATTGTGTTACCTGGGTTCCCAGTGTGTTCCGCTGGGACCCGTCAGAGCCCCAGGGCAGTGCTCACCCAAGTACTAAAAGGCACTCTTGGCAAAACCCCTGTTCCAATATCCACGCATCCCAGAAACCCAGGGTAGAAGTTGGTGAAGACTGAAGTTGCCTATCAACTGAATTATTTCTCCAACCCATGAGTGCCAGCTCCACACAGATTTTGGCTGAGAAAGACATCACCGTGAGCAACCAAAAGAAACTGCCAGCGTGTCTGATTACCTCCCCAGAAGCAATTATGATGCTGAGACGCATTCTCAGAAGAGGTTTTTAGCTCTTTGGGTTGCAGCCTATTTTGACATTTCTGCTGGCTCTGAATTACCAGCCCATAATCGACATCTAATATTAAGAATTCCCCGCAGACCATTCTTAAGAAGAGAGGTGCAATATTTTCCAAATAAATAAGACTCTCTGGCAACACAGTAAGCTAGAGAAGGCAACACTTTGAGATCTGTTTATCAGAGTTAAAATTTTCAAGAAATGCAGTACAAAATTAGTACTTTATATTTGAACTCCTTATCATTTCAATTTCAGGCAAGTTTTTTTTTTAAGGTATCTTTCAGGAACTAAAAGTGTTGGCATCAAGCTACTGGGCTTAGCTAATAAACATGAGAAGGTTAAGTGCACGTTAGAGGTTCAGCTCCAACTGGCGGCCCAACAGTTACTTCCCCCTTACATGTGAAATATTATTAGATGAAATATGGCCCAAAACAGGAAACAATGGTCTTAATTGAGCTTTTGCTGCAGAGTTAGGCCGAGAAAAAGTGCAAAACTTTTAAATCCATGACATGTAGGAAAAAAAATCTGTAACATATGATGATATTTCTTCTCTTTGAACTTCCCTTGGTTCAAACCCAGAATGAAGTGGCAACACTGTTTGCCTACATCTGCTGTTCAATGTACTGCTGTTCAAAATCAATTCCATGAAAAGAAGAAGGGTTCCATCTATTAAAAAGTTAGGGCACATTTTTATACTAATTTACCTCTTGGAAATTCACAAGAAGAAACACCTTGAGCATTATCCAAGCCAACAGTTTCTAAACTTGTTTGACCACAGAGCCCTTTTTTCCCTCCTTAAAAGCAATACTTACCATCCCATGGAACTAGTGATCAATAGCATAGACCATGTGGCCACCCAAAAATGCTGCCAAGGGAAGACAGGCATCCAGAGTTACCTATTCTTGCTGCCCATTATTCCTCTTTAGGACAGAAATTATGACAAAAGCATGAGGCCCAACAGTTTAATAAGAATGCAATCAGGGTGGTGCCTGTGGCTCAAAGGAGTAGGGCACCGGCCCCATATGTTGGAGGTGGCAGGTTCAAACCCAGCCCTGGCCAAAAACTGCAAAAAACAAACAAAAAAAAATGCTGGCATTATAAAGAATGTAAGTTCTTGCACTGAATCCCACTGACAGCAAAACAGTTTCCCTGTTAAAAGTAAGCACAGGTCAGTCAAGTTCATTTACAGATGCCTGTGGTAACTCCAGCTTGGTTAAGGTTCACCTGAGCACCACAGCAGGCTTTATTATTCAATGCAGGGAGCGGAGCTCCCAGGCACTCTGGAGCCGAGTCTCCTCCAGGTGAACAAAGAGAAGTAATCTCTCTGGGCCTGGGTCTTTCCTCAGTAAAATAAAGATATTAGACACTACCTAAAGGGGTAGAGTAAGAACTTAAGGTAATGAATTTAATGTCTCTGGCACAGAGCAATGGTCCAGTTAAAAGACATTCTCTTTATTCATATCACCTTTCTCTTGCTTAATATGACTTTGTCCTCAACAGAAAACATGTGAAGCCAATATAAAACAAATATGTTTGCACATGAGGAATATGACTGTGTTGACAGAGCCCCTGGGATTTGATGTCACTCAGAATGTCTTTGAGCCCTGAGTTGGCACTCACTAGCAATTTGACCTTGGACACATTAACATATCTCTCTAAGCCTCAGTTTCAGGACTGACAAAGCCAAACTAATACTGGATCCTACACTATTGAGTTGTCATGAGGTCGTGAGGAAATAGAAACCAAGTGCTTATGCCTGGGACAGAGTAAACATCCAATACATAGCGCCTGTTATTATTGCTTCCCTTAATCTTACTACTACTTATCAGCCCACAGAACAAAGCATTATGCCAATACCTTGTGGCAACTTGAAAAGGAAAATTGAAAAACTTTTTTAAAAAAGGAGAATTTGGGGGCGGCACCTGTGGCTCAAGGAGTAGGGCTTTGGCCTAATATACCCGGAGGTGGTGGGTTCAAACCTGGCCCCAGCTAAAAACTGGAAAAAACAAAAAAAGGAGAATTTTGAGGAGTTTAGTTATGTTTGTACACTTGCCTGAAGTTTCCTAATACTTTAGCTCAACCATTACCCCAGATGAGCCTGGCAGGATGACGTCAGAGCACTGATTTATGTTGGATGTCTCAGAACACTAATCCACATGTCCTTTCTGGCTTTGCAGACTCAGTGGGCAATATTCCCCCTTGCAGCTTGAGAGTCAGATGCAAGTCCACAATTAATGTAAGGATAGTTCACATGCTAGCTTCTAAGTGCAAGGGGCATCAGCTTTCCTGCTGGGTGTGGGAAAAACAATTAAACACCACTCCTTCCTCACTGGTCCAAACTACATGCCTCAAGCTAGGTGAAGGCCTTCTAGCTGGAGGGAACAAGGAGTCTCTGAGTCTAGGGCAAGAAAAAGGGTTCGAAGCAGTGAAAGAGTCAGGCACTCTGCCTTCCTTTACCTCCCCTAATCCTGCATGAGATTAAATTAGAGCCCTTTCAAAGACAGGGGCTCCACTTGTCACTTAGAATTTCTGAAGGCTATATAGAAGGCGGAAGATGCAGGGAAGCCAGGCAAAAGGTGTCAAATCTGACCCCCTACCCTGAATCCCCCTCTGCTCTTAAGCAGTCTGGAAAAGAACTGATATAATTCCAGACAAGAGAGGAAACTGGTGGACTCAGCAGGAGGAGGCAATATGCATAAGGATGGGGTGGCATTACAGGTGGACAGAACCCTTCCCCACACCGGCATCAGAGTAGGGTGGCACTGTAGATCAGAGGATCTACTGGCTGAGGAGCTGGTGTGGGGAAACCCAAGTCACCTCTCAAGGACACAGCATACATGGCCCAGGCTAGGAACAGGCTACCAGCCTGGATAGGGTCAAACAGAAAAGAAGCCACCATTGGGTCTTACCCAACACTGTTGCTAAGGCCATGCACAAGCCTCAGGTGCTTCTACTTGATTTCTGTGATAAAATCCAGGAGGGAGTTTGAACTCTCAATGTGACCTAATTTAATGGGAAAATCTATGCGTTGGCTAAAGAAAACCTAGAACTATCTAGATCAGTTGGTTACTATTTGGTAGCTAGAGGCTCCAAGTGAGAAATCAAAACACTGTAGAAATATTTAACATGCATGTTCATGAACTTTTGACACCGTGGGCTTCCACAGTGCACTTGTGCCCCAGGGACACTGTCCCCGGCCAATGGGGTTCACTCAGGGCTTCCTTCTCCCTCCACCTGCACTGATCACCAGAAAGCACGGACTCATTCCAGGAACAAAGTTAACTAACCAGCTAAGAAGTACGGACAAGTTAACTAACCAGGTAAGAAGTGCATACAAGTTAACTAACCAGCTAAGAAGTACTATGCAGCCATAAAGAAAGATGGAGACTTTACGTCCTTCATGTCCACATGGATGGAGCTGGAAAGTGTTCTTCTTAGCAAAGTATCACAGGAATAAAAGAAAAAGTATCCAATGTACACAGCCCTATTATGAAATTAATTTATAGCTTTCATATGAAAGCTATAACCTAATAACAGCCTAAGAATACAAGGAAGGGGAGGGAGAGGAGTGGGGGCAATGGGTGGAGGGAGGGCGATTAGAGGGATCACTTCTATGGTTTATCTTACAAGGGTACAAGTGAATCTTTCTAAGAGTAGACTATGAACGTCTTAACACAATAACTGAGAAAATGACATGAAGGCTATGTTAACCAGTTTGATGAAAACATTTCAAATTGTATGTGAAATCACCACACTGTACCCCAGAATTGCATTAATGTACATAGTTATCATTTAATAAAAAAAAAAAGAAGTATGTACAAGTTAACTAACCAGCTAAAAAGTACATGCAAGTTAACTAACCAGCTAAGAAGTACATACCTGCCGGTGGTACTTACTTATTAGAAATATCACAAAGGAAACCAGGACCAGGCTAACAATCAGCATAATTAGCAGCCCCACAAAATATAGACTTCTGCTTCCACTTCCAGAGTTTGTGCCCAGGACTGGGATTTTCTCCTCTAGAGCTAATATACAAAAAAAAAAAAAAAAAAAAAGACAAAAAGTCCTGAGCATACAACTTGTCCTCAGAAGTGAACAGTACCCCCTATTGGGGACATGCATTACAGATACACCCTATTCCTTCTGACAACCCTGGAAAGTGACTTAGGCTTTAGAAATGTCTTTGGGCTGAGATCAATGTGTGAGTGATTCGCCTTCTTTGTTATTGGCATTAGAGAAATAAACAGAGTTAAGCTATCTCCTTGGACCTGTTTGGAAAGTTCTTTGAAGACCATGTTAGCCCTAAAGTAATCAGAAGCTAGACTTTTTTTTGAGGTGAGAATGAATAAAAAGGGGGATACTAATGAAGGTTCTCATGACCTTTTCATGAGTGGAACAGCTGGGTGTCAGGCACCTGCCCTGGGCGGAGATTGAACTTGAACACCCTGGAATACCTCCCTGAAATTCCTTTCATTATAGGAATAATCGGTTATGCCTACATCCACTTAAACAAAAGTGGCCCTGATATGTTTTGGTTTCTTAAATCTGTCCTCAGGGTGTTCTGGAAACAAGGTTCTTTTAAATGTTTTTCAGTAGAACTGAGAAAGCAACTACTTTATAGTTGGAACTACTTCATTGTTGCTTTCTACTATAAAAAACCCGAACCATGAATTGTCTGCATGTGTCACCACGTTGTAAGTCTAGCTGCCTACCCAGGTGAAATTAAATAACTGATAATGAAAACCTGCGGTGGTGGAGGCTGCTGAATTACTGTTTGTATGCTGTCCTACTTGGAATTGATCCACTCACTGTGCTCCTTGATTCTGGCTGGATGAGAGGCTTGTACCCCACGCTGTGGGAGTGCGTCCTATGTCACCCCTCAACCGCATTGCCTCCTGTCAAAGCAACAGCACAGCCTGACACCCAAACATCTAGTCTTGAGAATGACTACAATAAAAACAGGTGTAAATCTGAACTTATTAAAATGAAGCAAAAATTCAGAAAGGGTTTACAAGGAGAACAATAGATATAAAGTTGGGACAGTAAGTTTAGATGCATAGAGGGAAAAAATGGCAAATGGCTAATAGCACGGGTGTTTGAATGTCAGCATTTAAGCTAGAAATGGTAGGGCTCTGAATGGTCTGCTAGAACTCATTTATAACATTTAGGGGGCAACATAGACATTTAGCATTCAGTAGATTTTGTTTTGCTTCCCTTACCCCTTTTTAATTAGGCAATTTGTGATTTGTAAGTAGAAAATGAAGTTGACTTTCTTGCCCAATAGAATTTTAATGATTTTTCAAGAACTAGATTAAAGTGTTGAGCATTTTCTTAGCATATATACTAAAATGAGGCCTCTTCAGAAAAGTGAGCGTCATTGGTGGCCTAGCTGTGGCCACCAGAAGGCCAAGCAGAGTCCAGGTCTGTAAGGCACCAGCCCTTCCAGGACAGAAACTCCACAGGATCATCTCAGCACTTTTTTTTGTCTTTAATTTACCTTTCCTTTAATTTTTACCTTTCCTCCCTGGCCAGACTGGTTGTGATTCTTAGAACTTTTAAAGACAAGAGTTCAAATCTTGTTGAGAGGCCAAGAAAGGCCCAAATCCTATCAAGTATTCAGAGGACAAAATCAAGACACTGCTAGCAATAAGTAGCATTTCCAGTGGCAAGCTGCGCCCACTCTACCCCACCATACCCGCACATCCACATTGCCATTTGCTATTTCTAGACAGCCCAGGAGCTCAAAAGGGCCGCCATGCCTTCCTGGGCACACGTACGGAACAGATGCTGAGATCCGGCAGGATAGAGACTCAGTTTGTTTAAGTCATTTATGGAATCCACGACATAAAGCTTTCCATCTTCATAAATGCCACCAGAGCCAGTGTCCTGGGAGGAATGATTCATTGTCCCTGGAAGAAAACATTGACGTGAAAAACAAGAGGCTGGCTAAGGAGCTCAACCTGTTAAGAACCACAGCCCATAGGAAGCCCAACAGGCATATAAAGAACTGCTCACAAATACACTTTTTTTCAGCTAAGGATCTAGAAAAGCTTCACTTATCCAGGAGAAAATATTTGTGCACATCTTCACAACTTTTCTTTTTGCTTTGCTTGCCAGGAAGCTCAGGTGAAATGTGTGGCCCAAGTTTAAGAATTACATCACTGTTTATACCCTCCTTAATCTGCGCATGCTCTTCTGATCCCCCAATTCTGCCTATATTGTCCCTGGACTTCTTTTTTATTTTGTAATTGAGTTTTAAATTTTTCCATTTTATTACATTGTTCATATTCTGGCCAGATGCTTCAAATCCTTTGTTCAGGAAGACTAAGTATAAATACATAGACAAAATTAAGCTAAAATTATGGCCTGTGGCCATAAAGATTCTTCACGAAAGAAGAGGATACTGCTGTGAGCCACTCTAATTGCATGAGGCTTTAATACAGAATTGTAATTTTTATATTCCCCCTTAATATGGCACATGAATCCTTACCCTCACGTGTTTCCTTCAGCCATTAGATGCTGGCTGTGAGTCCCCAGGATAAAATCTTAGCAAACTTAAATGCTATGAAGAGGAATTTTGCTAGACTCTAGGACCTCTGAGGTCTCTTCCATCTGCCCTTAAAGTGCAGTCACTCAGTTAATAAATATTTTTTAAATTTAAGTTTACATTAAAGGAAATATTTTCTAATGACAACACAACTTCAAGCAACACTGAAAACCCTGAAGATTAAAAAAGGCCCACATTAAGATGTCTCTTGAGCATAACCGAGAACCTGTAGCCATTTAATTATGTGAAAAGAAGGATCGAAGAAGATGAATTCCGATTGCAAAAGCTTTCTTTCATGATTATCTCTTTTCAAACACGAGTCTAATAGAGGCTTTTTCAATCTAGAAAGGATGTTAGGCATGCTGTATTCTAGCTCCCAATCTTTCTACGAATGAGGAAATGGAAGCTCAGCAAGGAAAATGCCCAATCACACATTGGGCTGGAGCAGATCTAGACCCGGCCTTTTGCCTGGTGTTCACTGGGTCTTCCCTTCTCTGCCTTTTGGTTCCATATGCCCCTTCCAAATCCTCTCTCAAGACTGAACCCAAACATCACCTCCCTTAAGAATAGAGAGAACCCAGCCCTGTCTTTCTGCCTTTGCTGCATCCCGTGGATTCTCCTAATAGCACATCTGTAGGATTTTGTTGCATTTGTTCGCTTACATCCTTGACTTCCTCACTAGACCTAACTCCTTAGTGTAGGGACCAATCCAACTTTTAAATGCCAGGTTTAGAAGCCAGCGACATGTTAAGTTGGAACATCTATAATACTTAGTTAAGGATTTAAATCTATTTTCAAAAGAATTGGTGCAGTTAATAATAAGTATACTAGCAGAAATAAGATTGAGGGTAAAAATCTTTACATGCTTTCTATCTGGACTCCACTGAAGTCCATGTAATAAATATTGTGCCTGCCTATATGTAGGAACACATTACTTACTTCTGTTACCATTTGTTAAATTTCCTTTAACACCTAGCAACAGAATAAGAGAAATGTCATTGGAGTTCAGAGAAACTAAATTCAGAAAAAAATGTATACACCTATAGAAGGTCTGGGGAAAAAAACGTTATCAGCTGTCTACTAAACAGCTTAATCAGTACTCTAGAATATTTATTAAAAACCAGCAGTTTCCCGGTAACACCTAAAACCTACTTTATTTGCAAAAAATGTGCTCCCAGGAACCTAGCTAAGAAAAGCAGAGAGCTTGAAGAGTCATGAACTGATTATAACTTTTTCAGACTTAAAGCTAAAAAGTGTGTTTCAGTTATCCTGAAATGTAATTAACAAAAACACACAATTCCCTGAGTATTTCAGATAAGACACTTTCAATATTGATAGTAAATATTAATAAGGATAGTCAATAATGAACTCCAAATACACTTCATGGAGCATTTCTAAGGAAATGGCTTGATAGAACAATTAAAAAAAAAAAACAGCTGCAAATAGAGTGAAAGGCCTTAGAGATCAATCAAAGCTAATCCTCTTACAGATAAAACCAAGGCCCAAAAGCACTGACTGATACATGGCTGCAGATTTCAAAGCAATTCTTCCGGAAGTATTTCCTATCTGGTCATCTCTTTATACTATATTTGGCCAGGAATAAAGGTGGTATGGGTCACATCATAAGATCGTTGTTCCAAACACAGCTTCTATTTTAGGCTTGGTGACTGACACTGGTTTGTTTATGGATCTCTGACTTAATATCCCGAGCCTTCGCTTCCCCTTCAGGAATGAAACTGCCCTTGCTTAAACCTCATATGGAGGCTTACTCAGTGTTTGCAAAGCAGAGAACCAGCTAGAAAATCACAGCCACAAAAACTGACTTTAAGAGGACAGCTAATAAAATCTCCAAATTAGTGGCCTTGCTCCCTACTCAAAAGGTCACTCTGGAAGAACTAAGGCAACAATTTAGAGTGGGCTATGAAGTGATCTGAAAGAAAATTCTTCTTTAGAGTGAAGTCACAGAGCAAATAGATGCCGTTTCAGTATATTTTTAAATGATTGCAACATGCAAATGTAAAATAAATAACTAGTAGAGAAAACAGAGTTGGGCGTTTTTCAAGGCTTCCAAGAGCCTGCAAATGACTCATGAGTAAATGGATGGATACAAGGCTGCATGGCCCTCACACCCGGACCCACAGCTGCTTGACACCCAGTGGTTACTATATTTGGCATGTCCAAATGAAGGCATCCAGGAACAACCAGCAAAGCTGGAGAAACCAGCGTTACTAGCAATTCCACGTCACACTGACTTAATCCTCCTTTCCAACTCCCGTGTGCAAATTTGCTTATTCACCAAGATTGGCTAAAGCAACATCCTTTTAACAGAAACCTGTCTAACACCTGGAGCTGAAACCTGTAAGTGAGTTCATTTTCCTCTACCAGCTGATTCTTTTTGTCATTTAAGAACTCTTTGGCAACTACCTTTATTCTGACAAATGAAGATTTGTTATCCATGAAAAACTGCCTTGTGCTTTATTTTTTCCCACAAGTGCTTGGTATCAAACCATAGAAATAATTCACACCAGTATTGCTTGCCACAAAACCAGAATTGTTATAGTAAGGCTTAGTTCAAAGCTACTAAGACGCTTTATTGAGGAAGTCATGGTAATTTGTTCTTTGATTTCATTTCAGAAACCAATGCCTCTTCACACTTAGGAAGTAATTTTTAAAATCAAGTCTAAATCATTTCAACAAAAGTTAAAAGCACAGAGCACATGCAACAAAGCTTCCCAGACTCAAGAATCATAATTCAGTCTCAGCAGAGAAATAACATGCAAATTACTTACAAAAATGTGAGCTTTGACTGGTAGGATACAGAAAAAACCCTAATTATTCAGGAGTAACTATAACAAAAATTTTCTACAAATTCTGTAGTTCTTTCTTTGCCTTCCTTCCATGTACAAGTGTTCCTATGAAGGCCATAAACCCCAGCATGACACTGCTGTTGGTCTATATTTAGTATTAATTTAGCCAAGCAGGGTAAGATTCCAAATACTGAGTTTTTTCATAATGCCTAAGGTTGAAAATATATTACTGAAACTATGCTTTAAAAAGAAAATAATGACCAAAAAAAAATCATGCCTTGATTTAGCTGATCCCGCTGAGGTCCTTATCTGACTGAAGTCAATGTCCTTAGGGGCTGACGCAGCTGTGTAAGCTGACACCACAGTTCCAGCACTCTGCCACCGTACTCCCCTGTATACACATCCTGCAGCAGGCAGGAACTGCCACTGTGAAGACCAGCTTGTAAGGACTCCAGACCAGCCAGGGAACTGCAGGGAACAAGACGGCTCTAACCTCACAGCGAGGTGATGGCAAGTCAGACTCCTGAGGCTTCCAGTAGCTACACAAAGCAGCTGGGAGTGGGAGACTGCCAGTGGCTACAGACTGCAGGTGCGGGAAGCACTTCATTTCATCAACCTCCTTTCCTTTTCAAAAGCTTTATTCTGAGTTTTGGCATTTCCCCCTGTCTCAGGAATGTCAGCCTTTCCCTTATGTGGTTCCCTCATAAACATGCCAAGGAGCTTCTGCCCTCTGGTGTACATACAAGATGCTACAATGATGAGAGGAGACCACTCGAGCCCGGGGGTTCCAGATCACAGAGCCATCCCAGCAGGATACTAAGGCTTAGGTTGTAAATAGTAACACCGTCCTTTGTCATCCTCCCTTCCATGGCCACGTATAGATGGGCATTATTCATCCTTGAAATATTTTTCATGTCATTGAACATGTGCTCTACAAAATTGTGAGGAAAAGTAAGCACCATGTAGATCCAAGGACCAGTTCTTGGAGGAAGACAATGTAGCTAGTTAACTATTTTTTCAGAAACATACTATTATTAAAAAGCTATGCAGATTTTCTCTGAAAAACAAAGCACTCACATTAGCGATTTTATCATGCCCAATTAAAAAAATCACCTAACTATTCTGTACCTGTCTTAAACCATCTATCCTTTTATTTACTATATTTTTCCTCTCTTACAACCTTATAACTCTGTGAAACATTAATTTCCCATCAGAGATGAGGAAAATTAAGACTATAAATAGCAGAGATGAGAATTAAACCCAAATCTCACATCAAAGTCTGAATTCAACTACAACCAGTCAGGCAGATGAGACTGGCTTTCCACCAGTTAGATGTGTGGAAAACCACTTAGGAACAAAGCCAGACAACTTACTTCAGTTTAACTATCAGGTAACTGAAAGGCTACAAGATTTGAGTCAAAGAAGAAAACAGATATTCACCATGAATTGTTTAATCTGGAGACATTTCCAACTATTTCTTGCTTTTTTTTGAATGTTCTATCTCAGGGTGTCACTCCCAGGAAACTGTAATCAAAGACTTGAGTCACAGA